GTATCTTCTGATAAACCAAATCTTATCCAATTATCAGCTAATACTTCGTATAACCATGTTATGTTATCTGTCTTAATATTCGGTGTTGGATATAGATTACATGGAGCTATATAATAGAAACATTCATCAAACATTCATATTGAATAGAATAAGAAATATATACCAGCTTCATGATTACCAACAGCTGAATAGATTGTTTTGTTAGGAAATATTTTTGCTAGCATATTATTGATAGTATTGATAGAATAGAGTTGATCTGCACGAGATTGATTCCATACATTATGAGCTGGTAAATCACCTGTATAATAGATGAAATCTACCTATGAGAGAAATAGATTATGTAAACGATATTGTACACAAAGATGATGATTACATTTTCTAATTCAGCAGCGTATTGTAGTATTGCTTCTGCTGTCCAATAAGGAATATCACAATTTCGATAATCACCCCTAGAATAATAAAAACATGTAGATATATAATAGAGATTGTCAAAATATAATTTTACCAGAAACCAGCGCCTGTATGACCAGGTTCTAGAAGTTTATTGATTGAAGATTGCATTCTATTGAAAACTACAGTAATTACTTACTAGGTAGACCTTGTCGACAACATAGTGGTTGAGAACAATCGGCTTGAGATCCTGGTTTATAAGCAAAATCAACATGAACATCCGATAAATGAAGAATATTTAATTTTGGTGATCCCGGCTAAAATAATAGCAAAACATTCATATATTTTCTTTTTCTAAGAACATTTACTGTAGGTGGTTGTGGTGGTTGAGGTATTGGTTTTGGTTTATTAGGAAATGTCACATTCCAAGTAATTACTGGAGCATATGGAGATTTTGGACATTCGAATGCTAATGAGCAAAGGTCTTTATTTGTCAGAGGAGACATTGCAAGAACTTCTATGACGGCATTCTTATTTGTAAATTTAAATTTAAATTTCGAAAAATTAATTTGTAATAAAGAATTTTACTTTATATTCATTTACAGCACCAAGGCAAACATTTTCATCAAGTAATTTATATAATTTACAAAATCGAATAGCAACATCATCAATTAATTCTGATCGATGAATTTTAATAAGAAATCGCATCTAAAACATATTTTTATTATAAATATATATTATACATTTTAAAATGAATGAATTACTTCAGGTACGAGAAGATCACAGGCGTCACATATGGCTGTGCTATTTAAATTATCCACTGTCCATCGTAATTTTTTAAAATTCATTGATCTTTCAAATCGATGACGATAATTAGCAAGTGTAATAGATAATTTCCGATCAGAATTATCAACTAATTGACTATCAATCGTTATTAAATAAATAGTTAAGACGAAAGCTATACAACATCGTTGAAATGTCAACAGCATTGCAACTGAAAATAACTATAATAAATAAAGAACGATATATTTATTGAGTATGATCACTAAAAAAAATATCAAAATTTTGTTATATTTCATCTTTTATTTTTTTTTAATTAGAAATAATAAAATCATCACAATAAAAAATATTAAATGAAAGACAAGAATTAATTATTTAAAATGGAGGAATTGAATCACATGCATGAGGATCTTCTGAACGACTTGTTTTAAAATCACATAAAAGTCCTCGACGACAATTATGATCACATTGAGTTCCATTTTGATAAGATTTTGTAGAATATTGAAATGCTAAACCCATCAATGGACCATCGATATCATTCTGTAATCGTTGTATGAAATCATTCCAATCATTTGGAAATAAATTCTTCATTTGATATGCATCACGAGCATCATACTCTTTGAGAAATATTGTTTTGTTTTGTGCATTTGATGCAGTTAAATTCATTATCACTGTATGATAATCGAGTGTCCAAAATGAACTTCCTGCATAATCACCATCGATTGTATATGCACGGTAACCTGGATTTAAATTTGAATAAGTTGTTACTGATGGACCAATATAAGCCTAGAATAATTATCATAAGAAAATGATTATATATTGAAAAGAAATACCATTGAAACAGGTCGTTGTTTTTCAACTTCATCATAAAAAACCATGAATTCTTCCGAATGTGCATGTCCATAAAACTGTCCAGCAATTGTATTTTCATATCTATACAATAGGCTATAAATGGTAAAAAAAAGATTAGCTTTAAAATTCTAACCTATTAACAATTTTATTAAAATTCCAACTAAATGCTGCCATACAAGAACGAGGAGGTTGATGTCCAATTATATGAACTTTTTCTTCATGACCTTCAGCATATTGTAACCATTGAATTAACTAAATGAATCATGTATATATATTTTATTTCTACAAGAAAACTCTTACCCATTGAAGTTGATCAAGAGGATCTGTTGAATTAATTATTAACCAATAATTATCTGACGTACAATAATTCATATTAAGTGAAATCAATCGTAAACCAGGTCGAATCAATGTTGTATAAAATGCTCCACGTTCAATACTGGCTCGAGTATCTTCTGACAAACCAAATCTTATCCAATTATCAGCTAATACTTCATATAACCATGATATGTTATCTGTTTTAATATTTGGTGTTGGATATAGATTACATGGAGCTATATAATAGAAATACTCATCAAACATTCATATTGAATAGAATAAGAAATATATACCAGCTTCATGATTACCAACAGCTGA